CCAACTCTGGGGGCACCCCACGGGGGACGGGGTGTGGCCACCCACCCCCACACTCACCAGTCCAGCCCGTTGGGCATACTGGGGGGCACAGAGGGTGACAGCCCTTGCCTCCACGGCTCTGGGGGGGACGGGGTGGGCGAGGGGCTGAGGTTGTCCGTGGGGCAGCAATGGGTGTCCCAGTCCGGCTCTGTGGGGAGGGGGGAGGAGGTGAGGGGGGGCCCAATCTCCAGCCTGAACCTCCCCTGGGGCAACTTGGGGCCATTTCTTCTTGTCCCATCACCCCTTGGGAGAAGAGACCGACCCCCATCTCTCTACACCCTCCTTTCAGGGAGTTGGAGAGAGCCAGAAGGTCTCCCCTCAGCCTCCTTTTCTCCAGGCTGAACCCCCCAGCTCCCTCAGATGCTCCTCAGAAGTTCTCCAGACCTTTCTCCTTCTTCTCCAGACCTTTCTCCTTCTCCAGACCCCTCAGCAGCTCCCTTGCCCTTCTCTGGACCCGCTCCAGCACCTCAATGTCTTTTTTATGGTGAGGAGCCCAAAACTGGACACAGCCCTCAAGGTGGGACCTCACCAGTGCCCAGTCCAGGGGGACGGTCACCTCCTGAGTCCTCCTCCCCACGCTGTTCCTGACCCAGGCCAGGATGCTGGTGGCCTTCTTGGCCACCTGGGCACACTGCTGGCTCATGTTCAGCCGACAGTTGACCAACACCCCCAGGTCTTTTCCACAAGGCAGCTCCAGCCACTCTGCCCCCAGCCTGGAGCATCCATGGGGTTGGTGGGACCCAAGTGCAAGACCCAGAACTTGGGTTGTTGAACCTCATCCCGTTGGTCTCAGCCTGTCCAGATCCCTCTGCAGAGCCTCTCTACCCTCCAGCAGGTCAACACTCCCACCCAACTTGGTGTCATCTACAAACTGACTGAGGTTGCACTCCATCCTCTCGTCCAGACCATTGATCAAGATGTTAAAGAGAAGGGGTCCCAGTAACGAGCCTTGGGGACACCAGTCGTGACCGGCCACCAACTGGATTTAACTCCATTCCCCACCACTCTCTGCTCCCGATCTCCATCCAGTTTTTAACCCAGCAGAGGGTGTTCCCACCCAAGCCACGGGCAGCCAGGTCCTCCTTCTCCAGGAGGATCCTGCAGGAGACTCCATCAAAGGCTTTGCTCAAGTCCAGATGAACAATGTCCCCAATGTCACCAGGACTCACCCGGCAGCTTGCGGTGGATCTGCCGGAACATGCTGCGGTACCAGTCCCGGGGCTGGTCAACGCTCTGCGGGGACACGGTCTACCCTCCAGCAGGTCCACACTCCCACCCAACTTGGTGTTGTCTGTAAACTGACTGAGGGTGTGCTTGATCCCATCATCCAGATCATTGATCAAGATGTTCAAGAGAACAAGTCCCAGTACCCAGCCCTGGGGGACACCACTCGTGACCGGCCACCAACTGGATTTAACTCCATTCCCCACCACTCTCTGTGCCCGACCTCCAGCCAGTTTTTAACCCAGCAGAGGGTGTTCCCATCCAAGCCATGGGCAGCCAGGTCCTCCTTCTCCAGGAGGATCCTGTTGGAGACACTCAAAGGCTTTGCTCAAGTCCAGATGAACAATGTCCCCAATGTCACCAGGACTCACCCGGCAGCTTGCGGTGGATCTGCCGGAACATGCTGCGGTACCAGTCCCGGGGCTGGTCAACGCTCTGCGGGGACACGGTGGGACAATGAGGAGGTGACAACAAAAAGAGGTGGATGCGCGTGTGTGGGGAGGGAAGGTGACAACCCCAACCCATGCTGCGGTACCAGTCCCGGGGCTGGTCAACGCTCTGCGGGGACACGGTGGGACAATGAGGAGGTGACAACAAAAAGGGGTGGATGAGTGTGTAGGGGAGGGAAGGTGACAACCCCAGCCCCAATCATAGAATCATAGAATGGTCTAGGTTGGAAGAGACCCTTGGGATCATCGAGTCCAACCATCTCCCCTACTCTACAAAGTCCTCCCCTACACCATGTCCCTCAGCACCGCATCTAAATGTCCCTTAAACACATCCAGGGATGGTGACTCCACCCCCTCCCTGGGCAGCCTGTTCCAATGCCCGACCACTCTTTGGGTGAAAAATTCCTTCCTAATGTTCAATCTAAACCTCCCCTGTTGGAGCTTGAAGCCGTTCCCTCTCGTTCTGTCACTAATTTCTCTACAGTGTCCTTTCAAGTAGTTGTAGAGAGTGATGAGGTCTCCCCTCAGCCTCCTCTTCCTCACACTAAACAGCCCCAACTCCCTCAGCAGCTCCTCAGACCATCACGACCCACCGAGCGGGAGGCGATGGGCATCCCCGTCTCATCCACCGGCCCGATGCCATCGTACTTCACCCAACGCCTCTCCCTCCTCTTGCTGTCCTTGGTCCAGGTGGCCGACCAGCCCCCGGGTGGCCGGGGACACCAGGCAGAGGTGGCCCCCCGGCCAAGAAGGGGGCTAGTGGGTGCCGAGGCGCTGGTGGCCTTCATCACCTTGGTTTGGTACCACGCGTTGGCTGGGGATGAGGAAGGGCAGGGTGAGCTCAGCATCACTTTGGGGGGGCCCATGGGGATGCCCCCACCCCCTCCCTCCCCGGGGATGCTGAGAGGGGGTTACCTGAGTTTTGGGGGTTACCTGAGTACTTTGGGGGGGGTGCCCACAGGGATGCCCCCCCCCCCTCCCTCCCCGGGGATGCTGGGGGGGGGGCTACCTGAGTTTTGGGGGTTACCTGAGTTTTGGGGGGCTACCAGGCCACTCTCAACCGTGCCAGGGTGGTGGAAGTCAAAATTGAGGGTGTTGGAGCCACGGTGGCGGATGATGGGCACCTGCG